AAATTAACTTCTGGCGAAGTTGTTTAATTATACTGTGTAGTATACGTGTTAGGGGTGGAAACGTTAAGTACCATAGATCTATACGGCACTATACGCCCCTACTTTATTAGTAATAATTAGAAATCGTTATCTTGTAGGCTTAGACTAAATACATTTCATTATAAGCGCAAATATGTTTCAAATAATATTTCACTGGGTTTAAAATTTTGAAAGACAAAAAACAAGCAAAGAAAAACAACAACGGAAAGGATTGAGTAAAATGTAAACCTTACCTGTTCAGATGGAGGCCGAGATGGTGGTCGACTGATTTGACTAGAAGACGATTGCTGGTTGTTGTTCCTAATACTCAGGTGGCTGTTACTGTTGTTGTAATTATAATTATTTAAGGTACTTCTACTCATTTCGATTTTTTCCTGTTCAATCTACTGTATATTGATAGTATAAGTCCCGTGCATCATTCAACTTTAAAGGCTCATTCATCAAGAGTCTAGAATTGATAAGGAATTTTCGCAACGGTTGTAGATCTACGCCGTTTCCAAGTCGCCAGCAATGTTGACGTCACGTGACGACGCATTTTTTCAAGGGAAACAACAAATAAAACAAAACCTTTCGCAATTTTACAAAATTACGGCGTATACATACTTGGGCTTAATCAGGGGCGTACAGTAGCGTAGCGAGGGGGGGGGGACATATGTCCCCGGGCGCCGACCTTAGGGGGCGCCAAATGGGTCGGAAAAATAAATTGAAAGGTTGAGGGGGGTGCAAATTGAAAGTTTGAGGGGGGAGGGGTGCAAATCGAAATCTTGAGGGGGGGTGGTGCAAATCAAAAAGTTTGTCCCCGGGCGTCGGGAAGGGTCGCTACGCCTCTGGGGCGTATCAAGGTTTTCGGGGTAGGGGGGCGAAAATAGCAAAAAAAAATTGTAATATCTTCTATATACGTATATATATATATATATATATATATATATATATATATATATATATATATATATATATATATATATATATATATATATATGTATGTATGTATGTATATATGTTACGGTCAAAGCCCGAAGTGCGGCCGAAGCCCGCATTGGCCGGCCAATGTGCGCATTGGCCGGCTCTCTTGGCCAAAGCCCGAAGAACTTAGCACTAAGAGCGTATTTCGTACATTGGCCGGCCAATGCGCACTGGCCGGCCAATGTACGAAATACGCTCTTGAAAGTAGCACTCTAAAGAAATAAAAAAAACACACAATGTAGGCCGACAAAACAAAAAATGTAGGTCGACAAAAAAAAATTATCACGCTAAACAAAACAAAACAAAATATATACGCACATTACCACCAAAAACAATGAACGCAACATAATCTGTTTTGTAATCCTTGTAAAAAAATTAAAGTAATAATTCCTGGGACAGAAATTAAGACAAGCGAAAAGGGGAAATAATTACTCTCTTAGATAAATATGTATGTCTACACATTTAATCATAAATATAGAATGTAATCTAAAAGCTTAACACTATTCGTTTTTACAATAATATGTTGTCTAAAATCAGAATTAAATATATTGTCATCATAAATGCTAAAGAATTACAACATAATGAAAGTTTTTTTTAAATCAGAGTTGGTATAAAAGCCAGCTTTTCATATTATTAGTAAAACATTGGAAAAAATAGCCTACATATAACTTACTTATCGGTCTTGCATTTAAGATCATACATTTTTCAATTAGCTACTGACTTTTTGTGTTCTTTAAAGATCATTTTTTAACATAATGATAAGGTATGTATTAGACCACTGTATTACTCACACGCCTTTTTACTGATAATTGCAACAACAAAAAAATATTCACAGAGATTTACGTTTTAAAAGCTATGATTCTGGCGACATGGTACTTTGGTACATCATTACGCGTTTTCCCAAATGTACTTAAAAGATCCGGTCACTTTAGGTCAATTATCCAACCCAGCGTATACCTAGGTGTGACATTAATGTCGCTCTACACAATTGTGGTGGTGAGGTGGTGGGGATAACCAACTCAGAGTGAACATAGCGTCAGTTTTTAGTTGACCGTTCTAAACATACATATTATTATTCAATTACACATGTATACTGATTCAGAAATAAATTTAAATAAGTAGTAGTGGTATTATGACAATAATTTTTTTATATAGAGGGGTCCATGGATGGGGGGGGGGGGTTGTAACCCACCTAACACCCCTCCCCCACCTCTGCCACTGAGCGGATAATTAACATAAATAACTGTGCTATCAGTTTTGGTTTAAATTAAAAAAAAAAATTTTAAATACGAAATATAACATTATTCAAATTTAATATAGTTCTAGATCTAGTAAACTAAAATAATAATTAATATAAAGTTGATACTGTTTCATATAATTTGTAATCGTAATCAGTATCACCCAAACTGTAAGAATACTACTACTTCATCGTGATGACGTTGTTGACCTTGTCAAAATTTCCCCACCGCTACGCAGTTTGCCCATAAGTTAATTTAAATAGAGGTGCCACACCAGTTGTCTTTGTTTCTGTATTGTAATTTTTTTAAAATTAATCACACGATTCAAACACGATAACTTGAGTACCGTTACAGCTAGGTTGATGAAATTTTATATATATATATATATATATAAGTATTTTATCAAAATCGTAGATCCGTATCAACTTTTGAGCGATTTCCGATAACCGGAAGTAGTACTTTTTCTACTTTGAATTTTTCAAAAGCCTATAACTTGAGTACTATTTCAGATAGAGAAATGAAATTTCACATGTAAGTAAAAGATTTAATTCTCTACCTTCTATCAAATTTTGAGTAATTTCCGTTGATCGGAAGTACTAATTTACGCTATTTCTGATTTCTCAAAAAAAACGCATGTAAATTTATAAAGTACTAATAATATAATATCTTTTTTCTACTAGATTCTATTTTATTTCTAAAAGTTTTAGTAAACAAAAATCATGTCTATATTCCGAGTTGCCATCCCACGTAGTGTTATATTAGAATATTCTAGAAAGTTTAGGGGAGATCACTCCCGGTTTATGTAAACATTGCATTGCATCGTAATGGTTATTACTTTCTCTACTAATAATATTTCGCACTATTATGCAAATTTCATTTGGTGTTCACTTGGTGTGCAATTCTTTTTTCTACGAGATTTTATTCTATTTTAAAAACTTTAAGTATTTAAAAGGGAGTTCCCATCCCCTGTTGTTTTATATAAGAATATTCGAGAAAGTTTAGGGGAGATCACTCCCGGTTTATTTTTAGGATGGCAAACTAATGCAGCTGTTAATACGTGTTGTAAACGTAGATACTACTAGACTAGTACAATAATGCTTAATTGCTGCATGAAAAGAAATCTTGTGATTTACATATATGTGCCGACCAAAAATATTTTTTTAAACAAATATCATTGTTTAAAACTTTGAGTTTAAAAAGTTGCCAAAAAGGCGCCACTTTGCTGAAAATAGCCAGAGGGGAAGCTGTCGCTCACCCCCCCCCCCCCCCCCCCCCCCGACACACTACCTGGCCGCTTATATTATAGATACATAATATTAATTGAATTTTTCGGGCTAACTTTTTGGAAAAAGTGTCTGGCTTCCCAAATATTTTCACTGTATTTTCCTAGTCGTTCAAAAATGTATTAGGCCTTTACTTTTGTCCGATTTTAATATGTACAGGGGTGAGCAGTTGTTTTGGCTCAAGGCCACTTTGTGGTAGCGGATTTTATCGGAGGGCCGCACCTTTTAAAACGATTGTATTCTTTATTTCAGAGTTTATTCTATGCATCTCTTTGGTAGGAGGGCGGAACCCCCCCCCCCCCGAAGAAAGTCTACGCCTTCCCCCCCCCCCCCCCCCCCCCCCGAACGAAATGGAATTTATATAGAAAACATATACTTCAACCATTGCCACCCACCCACCGCCGGAAAATGTTGACCCCCCCCCCCCCCCCTCCAGGTTAAAAAAAGTCTGGAAGAAACACTGCTTGGTAAAATCACGATATAGCGTCGGTTATTATTCCGGAATAGTACAGCAGTAAAAAAAAAACAACAGTAAAACCATGGCATTCAGGAAACCACTGGAAATACTGTAAACCATTTATTTGCCACCATATTATTTTTTAATACATATTGTTTTAAAATGTGCTTGGATTGATTTTAGTTGCATTTTAAATACTGTTTTGCTAATTATTTTGTATTTCTAATTATTTTAAGTGTATGTGCTGATTATTGCTGCTACTAAACATTTGTTCTAATTCTCCTTACTACTTTTAATTTTAGTAAATTTAATCGTTCTACTTTACTAGATCTAGATTTGGTTGTCGCAAATCTCCTGCAAGTTTTTTTCTGTGTTTCTAAAAAAAAAAAACATTAATTAGTAATTACTACACTCGACTTTTTAAATATTATTTAGATTTCCTAATTGTTGCTATTTTTCTGTCAATTAAACTTTAAATTAAGTTAAAACATTAATTCAATGCACTTGACTTTATTTTTATTTCAACGGTCAAATAAACTATGGTTTACACTGCAGGGGTCTCCAAACTTTTCAGTCCGAGGGCCGCATTAACTAACAAATTTCAGTTCGGGGGCCAGTTTCTTTTAGGCACGTCTTTGATTCTTCAGGGCAAAGTTCCTTAGCCAGCACCAACAAACGTTTTTTTCCGTGGACAAAATGATCCCCGCGGGCCGGATGAGAGGACCTCGCGGGCCGCATCCGGCCCGCGGGCCGTAGTTTGGAGACCCCTGGTTTACAGTAACGAATGTTACCGAAACTCAACAAACATTACCAGATAATTTCCAACGCTATATGGTGAGATTACCCACTGCTTTAGTTAACATTATAATTTCGGTCACGGACATGAAGCAAATATCAGTTCAAGTACTTCAAGGCGGGGGTTTTATGAATGTGTGGCCGCATCTGGCCTGCGGGCCGAACTTTGCCCACCACTGGACTAGTATAGAGTATAGAATCTACTAGGCTTATCGAACTTTAAAAAACTGGAGAGGTGTAGTTCTTCATTTTCAGAAAATAAAATTGTTTTATTAAGAAAAGATGGCTTCCAAAGTGACAGAAAGGGCACTGAACTTAATTAAGTCTATGCCGCGAGTTGCCATCAACAATATCAAGGATCTTCCGAAAACAGCATACGTAAGAAAAAAACCATATAGATCTAGATGTAGGTCTAGATATAGATCTAGGGCTAGTAACGCTATAGGAGGGACTCATTTACAATAAAACACCGTGTGGTAATCTAATAAATCTATCGTTTTGGGTACGTAAAATCGCCCGCGGCTATTTACTAGATCTAGTATTTACCTATTAATGTAAGAAAACGTTACCTCATTGTCAAGGCTTTAACAGAAGTATATTGTGATATGTTTGTGTCAAATATTATAGATAAATGGATAATAAACCTAAATCAATGGTTAAATATATCTCAATAGTAGATTTTCTTAGTAAATTTGAAATGTACTCAATTTTCAACTTAAACATGACAACTAAATAAAAAACGTCCATACTTTATCCACTAGGCACTAATTTTGGGAGTTGTTGCAAGTTTTAGACTAAATTATTGAATTTTAAATTTTTTGGTCACTCACAGCTATGGTATGAGGGATCCATCCATGACAACCTGCTTAAAAGCTGAAGGGTTTAACTTTTTAATTGACCGCGAAATAGATCTAATTTTTTTTTACAAGAGAGTTCCTAAAAGTAGAATTGGCCCGTCTATCGTCGGGATATATTTATAGAGGGAAAAAATTTAAGAGAATGTCATCAGAAAAGAATTTTAAAAAAGACAGGACAGAAGTGATGTTTGAATTCTTTTATTTCTTTAATTTTATAACATTTTTTATTGTACAAAAGAGCAAAATAAAAAACCATGCCAGGTAAACGTATCCATTCAAATAGCGGTCACGTGGTCAAAAAAAATAAAAAAATTTGGTTGTCATTTTTTGGACACATCTTATAAAAAAAAGTGTTGAAGATATTTGATTTATTTTTTCATAGAATGATAAAACTAATAATGCTTTACTTTGGAAATCAATTTTGTGATATGGAGATCTATATTTAAAAAGTTATATTACTTTGAATGACACCGACTTTAAATTTAGCCTACATTCTCCAAAGCAATTTTTGAAAATGCTTTTCTGGCATATTTCGACTTGCCACCTATAGCATGTTTTTATAACGTGAAAACCTGCCATTTTGCTCGTGGTAAACATTTTTAAAAGTAATTCCAAGGAGGTCCCTGGAACTAAGTCGAAAAACTCGCCGGAAGTCATGGTCCGATCCTAACGCCATGTTCTGGTAAGCAACCAAGGACGCTTTCAAGTTAGTGAGCCTCGCTATCAATAGGCCTATAGGCCAGAAATCAACTTTAAACAGCAGTGTCTGCGAGCAAGATTTGCTATATAGTATAGTTAGTCTCATATAAATTCAATTTTCTTCAAATTATAAAAAGAATAGCATATAATTGTAGAGCTTTAAAAATGCAATCCAACAGTACCAATTTTATTAATTTAGCATAATTGGTTGATTAAATATAATTTTTTTAGTGTCGCAAATAAAATATATAGAAACGCGACCAAAAACGCAGGTAAAAAGTCAAATTCACTTGTTTTAAAGCTAGTAAGCAAGAAAAGACATGATTCTTTCTTACTATTGAAATCAGTTTGCTTATACCTACATTTTTTTACACCAAGGTGGAAGTAAATAGTTTATATAAATTTATAAAATGCCATTTATATAATTTATTGTATGTTTTGTGATGAATTTTCAATTGGAAAATATCGCATTTGGAAGCAGAAAGGTAAATTCTACAGAACAGATGTTGTTTGGAATGTTATAGATTATAGATCTAGGCCTATATCAAAATGTTTGTTTAATAAAATTCAATTAGAGTCCACCCATTTCTGATGGGTACCTGATATACATTGGGGAAATTAAAGGTAAAAAGTAAAGGCGGCTGTGAATATGGCTGACCACACGGACAATCACTTCATATGCCGAGGTCAAGAAACATGAACTCTACTTCATCTGCCAAATAGATTGCTTTGTCTACAGAGGAATCTTAATTAATGTTTACAGGGGCCTAATAAAATTGAGTTATGTTTGTAAAAACATTAGGCCTAAGCTTTAAAAACTTATTTTGGTCAATATCGGAAAAAATAAAAATCTTTTCGACTAAATGGGTTGAAAAAAGCTTTGAATTTGTTTCATTGTTTGTTATTATATCTTGTAGTATTTAGAATTGAAGCTTTCTTTCTTAATTACAAGTTGTATTAATTTCAAACCTTAATGTAATTTCTTTTTAATTCAGTATTAGCTTAAATGAAAATGTAAGGTAGGCTACAGAATTCAGATATTACGTATAGTTTTGTGATTTTTATATGATTATAACATTTGTGTTTATGAAATGACCTGATGAAGTTATCAAGCAAACTGTTTTATTATTATTTTAATAGGCCTGCAAGTTATAAGTACAAAATATAGATATCTAATCACTAGATCTAGGTCTAAGAAGTTTAAGAAAAAACTACCAAAAGGGTTTGAAATACTTAAATATAGTACTAAAAGTAGCTATGTTTTGAAAAAAAAATATCTTAAACTGGAGACATTCAATTTAAAAGTCATTATAAAACTCCCCGATCTAGATTTATTTCTAGATCTCTAGTAGGAATACAGATTTAGAGGCTTTCCCATCAGTATCAATGTACTATCTTAGCTATGTGGGAGGTCAGTACGAGTTCACTGGGAAAAAAATCGGTTCTGCCGTAGGGGGTGGGTTTAGTGCGCAAATGCTCCTGACCGATTGCCAAAAGGTACAGAAATTCTAAAGATACATTTTAAAAGAAAAATGGACGGCTGAACTGCAGTTATCAAAATATCTGTGTAAGTAGAAGTATAAATAATAATATTTTACACAAATATAGCTGTCTTTTGCTAAATCTAGCTCAATTTCCACGAAAATCGCATCCGGTCGCAATAATTTTTATATCAGCTTGTCGGCCATTCAACGATCTATCACGTGTAGCAGACGCCAAACAGATTTACCCGTATGGTATTGCGCGAATGCTATTTTTAGCAACACTGCCGAGACGCGATCGAAAAAAACGAACTAGAAAGTGGCCATAAAAAAGCGGGTCAGGGGAGGTAATTCAACTCGCGTTATGAGACTAGCTATATAGTAGTTTTTCTTACTAAATCTAAAATTTACGCAATTTTCAATATAAACATGACCACTGAATAATAGACATCCATATTTAATCCATTAGGCTCTAATTTTGAAGTTTTTAGTTCATTTTAAACTAAATTACTTAATGTAATATTTATTGACACTCACTGCCATGGCCAACACATCTCTCCATGACAACTCTTCTAACCCTTGATGCTTAAGAAAACCACAAATCAGGTTAGACTTTTTAAGTGGCCATGCACCCAGAGTTCCTCACTAGTGATCTCAAATAGCGGTCACATGGTTTTTAAAAAATAAAAATAAATTGGTTGTGATATGAGAGCCGATCTTATAACAAAAGTGCCAACAATATTTGCTTTCTTTTTACATAGACTGATAGACTTAATAATGCTTTACTTATATGATCATTTTTGTACCTATATCAGTGGTTCCCAACCTTTTTCGAATGGCGACCCCCTTTTATAAAAAATAAGTGACCCGCGACCCCCATAGAATTAAAAAGCCGAAATTAGTATGGAAATTAATAAGCACTAAAATAAGATTTTCTGGTAGACTTTCAATATGAACTACTTTTGATAACTATTTTAATAGCATGAGTAAAATTGCATACTATTCACTAAACCTCCGTGGTTAGGTTTTTAATTTAAAAATTTTTTTTTTAACGCCAACCTATGTCATTATTAATATCTTAATTTTGTTTTTAATCGAAGAATAGTGTTGAAAATATATTCTCGAAAAGTCAATCAATTTTACGTTTGGGTTGGAATGGTGAATACTACACCAAAATTGTGTCTGCAGTTTTTCATCTTACTCGGAATCATTCTGCAAATCAAAGAATTCATCTTGTAATTCATCGGCAACATCAAGGGAAGAAGAGAATGGGTAATGCGTAAATGCAGATTCTTCTTTTTTCAGCTCAGAGAAATAGCGATGCAGTTCGTTTTCAAGAGATTCAAGATGCCCAGATATTGCTTCTTTCAAAATTTTAATTATCTCACAATCAGATTCACATACCGCACCGCAGAGTTTCTCAATTTTACAATATTTCCAAGATTTATTTTCTTTACCGATTTTGCAGCTTTGATAAAAATGTCCCGAGATTATCATGGAAATTTATAATATTCGTTCATTTTCCCTGAAGCTTCAGGTTAAGCTTATCTTGATGTTCGAACACATCTGCAAGGTATGATACTATCTCAAACCACTTTATGTCGTTTTAAGTATACCAAAAAGTCTTGTTTCCTTTGCACTTCCAAGAATAATTTGATTTCAGATTTCAATTCAAAAATACAATTTACAACATTTCGTTTGACAGCCAGCGTACTATAGTGTAGAATAGCAGAACCTCGTGATCTATAATGTTTTTGCTCAGTTCTTTGAAGGCTCCAGATTTTAGATAATTTACGACTTTTACTAGCAATGGACTCTTGATGTCAATTGGTTAGGGCAGTGGTTAGGTAGCTAAATCTTTTCTGTTTTCTGAAAGGCCAATTTTGAGCTAAACATAGATGGCGCGCCATCCGTACAAACTCCCCACAGCCGTTCTAACCCATTTTAATCATCCAGTTTCAAAAAAGGTATTTATTTTCTCCATGCTATCTTCACAAAAGAGCAACTCTTCTTTGCGATCATCCGCTTGAATATAGACACAGACCAGCAACTGCGAACACGAACTCACGTATGTTGATTTATCAACTTGAAAAGCAAACAATGGTCAAAGCTTAATTTAAAAAAAAAAGTGTTATTTAACATTTACGTACATGCAGCGTTTGATGAGATATTCTCTTTTTGTTTATTTTTCTATCGCGACTTCATTTGATGCTTGCACTAATGCTGGTGAAAACTTCCTGTTCGATCAAGTCTCTGGCGTTTGCAACTAGCTTCTTACCGACGAAAGAACTCCATATATTTTTTGGTGTGTTCCGAATGACTCGTCTCAAATGACGTTTTA